GTCTGACTCCAGAACATCTTGGAGAACTAGAGTACAAGAAGCTGTTTCAGGAGAAACAGAGGTCCCGGGACGTGAAGTCATTTTCTTTTTCACCCATCCGAATTTAGCATTAACGAAGAATGTCAGAACAAAGTCCATCTTTCCCGTCTGCCATTGCTAATCCGACCAGGCCAGCCCAGTAGGCCTCTGCTGTCCAGATCCGCCCGCCACAGGAAGCTAGCCTGCAAACTGCTTTCTACGGGGAAGTTGCCTCCAAACCACTCATTGAACCCTGTGTCAGCCTTCTTCTTCCACTCCGTGGTTCAGAAACGTTATTATTTATTTATTTATTATTTTTAATCTAGAGATGAGTCTCACTCTGTGCCCTGGGCAGAGTGCTGTGACATCATTGGGCGCAAAAGTTCCTCTCCCCCCCTTTCCGGAGTAGTTGGGACTACAGGTGCCCGCCACAACTCTCCACTATTTTGTTTTCTATTTTTAGAGAGAGGGTCTGGCTCTGGATCAGGCTGGTCTCCAACTCCTGAGCTCAGGTGATCCACCCTCCTCGGCCTCCCACAGTTCTGGAATTCTGGGGGTGAGCCACCTTTAAATGCTGGGAAATCTATAAACGTGAGCAGCACTGTGGAGGGATCGAAGATGTCCCCAGCCTCCTGTTTAGGGTACCTCAAAGTTGCTGACTTTCGGTGCTAACACTAGGGGTCCACTCCAACTGAGGTGCTTCAATCCGCCATTCTGCCCAACACCTAGGCTTTAACACCGGCTCCTACCTGCCTTCCAACGTGTTAGGACTTGTCTGTGAAATCTCTACAACGCCTGGAACTCATCATCCAGGATCCCACCCGTGGCGGAGAGACGCACAGCACCAACCTGTCCTTTGGGTGGCCCGGTAGTCCAAGTAGCTGCTGGGGCTGCTGGCGGTGGCGTCTGCGCCTGCGCGCCAGGCTGGGCCTGGGTTCCACGTGGCCGCGGCCGGGTGTCGGTTACCCAGCGCTGAAATGCAGGTTTACACCATCAACCCGGGAAGACCCTCTCTGTAGGAGGTTTATGTAAGTACTGACCATATCTGTGAATGTTCTCGGCAAACCCCAAATGCAATGGAAATGTTGAACAATAGGATTTGATTGGAAAATAGAGTTATCTTGTGGTACTTAATTTCCAATTTGAAGATCCTGCCACCCCAGAGTATATTTTTAAAACTCTAAAAACCCAACAGTCAAAACAATCCAATTATAAAAATAAGAAAAAGACGTGAACAGATATTTCAGAAAAGAGGCTATCAGGATGGCAAATAAGCCCATTAAAAGAAGTTCAACATCCATAGCCCTGAGGGGAATTAAAATCAAAAACAATGGCAACTTTGTAAACACCGGTGATGATACCAAATGCTGGCGAGGATGTGCGGCTCTGTCACACGTTTGCTGGTGGGAAAAGAGGTTAGCTGGCAGTTTCTCGGGCAATCATCCCAAAGAAATAAAATGTATGTCCTCATAAAAAAACGCATACAAATGTTGACTGAAATGTTTTTCGTAATAGCAAAGTACTGGAAACTCCTCGGATGTCCTTCAGATGGTGATGGCTGGATAAGCAAACTCTGATGCATACAGGCAAGAGAAAACTTATTCAGCAATACCAAAGGAACTATTGATACAGGCAGCAGCCTGAACGGACCTCAAGAGCATTATACTTAGTAAAAAAAAAAAAAAAAATCAATCTCAAAACACTGCATCCTGGTAAGCTCCTACTAATATAACAGTCTCAAAATGATAAAACTCTTTGAGAACTGATTAATGGTCATTTGGGGGATAAAAACACACAGAGGTAGTATGAGAGAAAATTTTTTTGTGATAATGGAACACAATGTATAGAACAGTTCTATATCGAGATTGGGGGATAGCTTTTTAATCCCATGATTTTGGTCAAATATTTACCATAAAAGCCAGCCAAATGGTTCTTAAATCATTTTTGTGAAGTATAAACATTCTTCACAAAGACACGATGTCTTTTGTGAAGATACAACATTGGTTTAATTCCAGTTCAGTACTAATCTTTATGTTTATTTAAATCAAAATCAAAAAGTACTGATGATTTTATTAGCAAGCGACACTTTCAGCATACAAAAGCGAATTATTTTGTGGTAATAAAAACGGGGATAGGTTCGTGGCAGGGATTCTGGGGGTGTTTGCTCTTGTTTCTTTTTTCTCCTGAAATACAGTCTGAACCACTTGCTTCTTTTCCTCCAACTTGTCTGTAATCTTAGGTTTGATACATAAAAGTTTGGGGCTACCTAGCATAATGGGGCAACATCTTCCTCAGATCTCTGCCTTATTTGGAAGGATTTCCCAGAAGAGTGACTTTTCCTCTGCCGTATCTCAATTACTGTGGAAACCCATTTATTTTCCTGAAAGTTTTTCCCACCATTTGCCTTCAAATTTAGGTATTCAACTAGATAATTCCAAGATAACTGGCTGTTCTTTACCCACTTTGGAAGGAGCAAATTTTGGAAGGCCTGCCAGGCCTTGGTGCCCCTGAGAGCTGAGAGATCTATAGCTAAAGAGTAGACTGCCACCAGGGGTCTTTATGTGGGGATATTTCTGATCCCAGCACTGCCTATTATTTAAGAGAGACAGGCCATTTAACTCTTTTTCTTTTATAACCGAGAAAACAGAAGAAACTGAGGAAAAATGTGATGTTAAAAAGCAGGTCAGTGATAAAATAAGACTTTGGGCATAAGCCAACCCAGGTGCAAATGGAACTGTTAAAATTAACTTTTCCACGCCTGTTACCTCACCTGTCAAATAATCATGATAATAATAGCATCTGCCTCATCTATTTTGTTGTGGGGATCAAATAAAAAAAAATGTGTGTTAAGCCTAAAACGTACCCTGTACCTGCCACATGTGAGGGTCCCCATACATGTTCATTCCCTTTTTTAAGGTTCTATCCTTCTCTTAGCTGCCAGGGGAGTTTGAAGAGAAAATGGCTTGCAGTGAAGGGGACTGATTGCTAGGCGTCAACAGGGTTAATTAATATTTCCCAAGAAATATGTTCCTGAGAACAATGTACATAGATTCAGCCTTTCCAAAGAGAGTCATTTTTAAATTGAGCAAGGGAAGTCAGTTTTATGCCAAATAAATGATCACCCCCTCAAGTATCTGTCTTGAAGTTCTTAGAGTAGACACCTGCACTTGAGGTTCCTTTTGGTATCAGAGATCAGGGCCTTGGCAACTCCGTTTCCCAAAAGAGTGCGGTGAGAATGGCTTAAACAAAGCAAGTTGCCTGTGATATCTTCCTGTTAAAAACATTGAATTCTACTGTGTCTTGGGTCTCTAAAGGATTCAGAGAGCACCAGACAAGGCTTTGCCTCCAAAAAGGGAATATAAACTGGTGGGGGGAAGTACATATATCTAATGGACTGAGATTCATTCATCTGGAAACCCTAGTTAGAAAGTAATTCATTGGGGAAACTAAGATGGTTTCCTAGAAGAAACTGAGGAACACAGAAGTTTGTTTCCTTTTAGAATTTTTTCACAGTAAAATGGGCTGTCTTTTGCCCTGCCCTTCAGCAGCTCAGGAAGTAAGGGAGGCCAAGGATACATTGTTGTCATCTTTGTATCCCCAGCCCTCGGCACACAAGCTCCTCCAAAAAAGTTTATTAAATGAATGCATTCCTTAAGGTGGCTGAATGCAGTAGTACCTTTATCCCCCAGTTGCCTTTTTTGCAGGGTAGAAGTGAGGGATTGTTAAAGCCTACTGATTTTAGCAGGCAGACTGAAAGCTCCCTGAGAGCAGGGTCCAGATTGATTCTGTATATTGTCACCTTAGGGCTTGGCCGGGCCCCTGACATTCTGTAGGCACTCCCTAAAGCATTGTTGTGTGAATGCATGAAAACTACCTCCTATTTCTGCCCTCCGAGCTCACAGTCAGCCTGGAAGAGGGAGAAGAGTTTCTGTGAGGAGGGATGGGCTGCCTTGGGCGTCCAAGAATGCTGACAGCCCGTCAGAGGCCAGAAGTCAATTTCACCTTCTCGCTCAGCGATTTGCAGACGGTTGTAAATCACCTCTCTAGTCCAGCCAGGGTTAGCGGTGCGTCTCTGAGGTCCCTGCGGGGACCCCTCAAGCCAAGTCGCCGAGGAAGGTAACCCAGAGGGGGGGAGCCAGCCAGCACGTGCAGCCGCCCAGGGGAGGAGGAGGCTGGGCTAACACAGCCCTTAGTCAGCAGCTGGGCTCGGTTTTGAAACAAAAGCCAATGTCCTCCCTCGGAGTCCGCGGCCGGTCAGCTCCTAGGGGGAAGAAAGCCATGCTGCCCAGCCGGTTAGTGGCCCAACTTACTTTTCCAGAGCCTGGGACAAAAGACCAGAGGATGTACGGGAGTGGGTGGAATGTTGGGGATGGGGGACCGGGATCCAGGCCCTCCCCTCCCGGCAGCTCCGGGAAGGGGCCGGGGTCTCCCCTGCTCCGCGCACTATTGTCCCGGGGAGTCAGCCTAGAAGCTCTGGCCCGGCTGGTCTGCGCCAAGCTCAGGCACCTTTGCAACCCGCGTCCCGGAGCACAGACACACCAGGCCCCGGTTTCATGAATGAAATCCAATCGCGTGGATATAAATAGCCGCGAAGGCTGCTCACGTCACAGTGCGAGCCGCGGCGGCGGAGCGAGGTGCCGGGCGCTGCGTTCCGCCCGGCTGCCCCGCCTGGGAGCGGGGTGGGGGCCGGAGGAGGGAGGGCCCGCGGGTGGAAAGGGGCGAGCCCCTCTGGTCCCGGACCCGCAGGAGCGGCCGCGGCGCCCGGCCAGCCGGCGAGGCGAGGCAGTGCCATGCTGCCTTTGTGCAAAGTTGGGCGGCGGGCGGCGCGCCGCGCGCAGGGGCCCCGCACACCCGCGACCGCGCGCAGTCGTGGCTGCTGCTGAGTGGCGGGGGCCCCCCCGCTCCCCCCGGCCTTTGAAGGCGGAGAGAGCTCGCGTCTCGCTCGGCTTCAGGGTAGGTTCTGTGTCGTGAGTGCTCTATGGTTGAAACTTCTCCGAGCAGCCACCGCGGAGCCCCCACCGCCCCAACCCCAGCCGGTGGCAAGTGGGGGCTCACGGGGCCGTGCCAAGCGGCCAGCAGCGCCGGGAGAGAGAGTTGTGGGGACCGAGTTGCTATGGGGGTCGCCCTTGCCTCTCTGCGAGGCCGGGCACCCTCACATCAGAGGCAAGCAGAAGAGATTTCTAGGAGCGTCCGCACAGCCGCACCCCTAACTTGGAGCCGAGAAAATGTACAACAGGCACCCTTAGCGGGCTGGCTGCGGCAGGGAGGGGGTGGTGCCGCGCCGACAGGAAGGCTCCTTTCCTTCGAAGGACAGTGGTGGGGAGCCGGAGGACCTGAAAAGGGGACTACGCTGGCCCTTTTGGCACTGCACCCCTTTGAGACTTGACTGGTCAGCCCCACAGTTCCGTGCTTCCCGCCCTTCCCCCCAGCCCCAAGTCTGCGGAGTCCGCTGTGAGTTGCTGTGACAACAGTGGGAGCTGCCATGAGGGGCTTGCAAAACACCTTACTTTGTCTCTGTGTGCTCAGCTTTCGGGGAAGACAACCAGGGGGGGAAATTTGCAGAAGAGAGAATTCAACCCCCTCTCCCCAAAAAGAAGTGGAAGGAAGGCACAACTATGTAAAAATATATCATTAGATCCTACTGTTAGCTGCACCGTTTCCATCCCCAGCGATATCAAACATCTCAACTGAGGAGCAATGTCAATATTTAGACTTGGACAAGCCAGAAAGTTAGAAGGGAGCGCCAAGCACAGGGTTTTGACTTGGCTTTGCACGTCAGCACACAAGCTGTGCCTTTGGAGCTGACTATACACATTTGCTGGGGGGAAAAATGCATGAGGGTTGATATATACACAGAGGCACCCAGATCTAAGGAAATCGAAGGAAGTTAGACCAGAAGAGTCGCCCTAACTTTGAACCTGCCCGGCCTGTCACGTTCGCCAGAGCCCTGTTGAACTCCAGCCAGAAGCTCAGCTTGAGGTTTCACCGGTCTTGGGCTCCCCCACCCCCACCCTGTGCTGTGCTGCACATTCTACGTTAAACTGCAGAAACAGTACTGTTAAAGGATGAGTGCTTTTCATTTTTGTACCAGTCCTCTCACTATTAGCAGATAGCAAGTAGTCAGTGGGCTGTTTGTTTGATCTTGGCAAGACTTTTCCAAACATAACTCTGATAAGTTTGTTTACAAACACTATTTAGAAATTTGGAATTATATTTCATTTCCAGTAACCGTGGAGATGCCCGAGAGAGTCACTGGCTGCTAGAAAATAAACCTAAGGTCTTTTCAGTAGAAATAATGCCTGCATACTGCTCCACAGGAGGACGGGCGGTCAATTATTCTATTAAATAAGGTTTTCTGAGATTCCTGGATCATATCTGGACCCGTATTAGTGGGAAGGAGGTTTTACCAGTTGGTCCTAGTGTGGGAGGCTTTGGACAATCATTAGGAAGCAATAATATTGCTGTCAGGAGTCTTCTCAACTTGCCCATTTTGTTATTTTCTCCAATTTTGAAGGTAGTGTAAACTCAAAGTACATAGAGCTGTATGTGATCACAGAGGTGGAAATAGAAGCACCTGTTAACAGTTTGATGTTATTGCCCATAACATAACTTCATCATTATACAATGTAACAGGAAAAACCAGAATTGTTTGGCCTTTTAATTATGATTATACTTTCTAAAAATGCTATGTTGGAGGAAGAGCTTGCCCACTTGGGTGACTTCTGTATTATAAAAGGCAGTAAGATTTTCAGTGTTCCAAGCCATGGGTTTGTGGCCAAACTTTTTTTTGGGTGGGTATCATCCTCAAGTGCTTAGAAATGTCTTTTTATAAATACTGCAAAATGTTAACCTACTTCAGGATGTAGTCAACCCAAAGAAATACCACTTGAACACTGGCATTCAGCAAAAGCAAAGCAGATTCTGCCCTCTTTCAGGGAAAGTAAGAAAACAACGTATGTTGAAAATTTTAGTGTCTCTCCATGTGTTCCTGACAGGCAGTAAGATTTACAGAGTATTTTCTCTTTTATGTAGGTAAGTCCAGCTGTGAGCAGGGCGTTCTGTTCTTCACTTCCAGCAAGACAGGTCAGTGTGTCTGGCAAACCCAGGACCACAGATTGGTAACATCCTGTGTCTAATTCTGAGCATGCATTTCAGAACAGATTTTCTAATCTTTTGTCTTTAAAAAAAAAATCATCTTTGTTATTTTTTTGTGACTCCAGTTATGATCATCACAAATTCAATGATTATTAAAATTATTGTTTACTCCATGAGTACAGTGGTTCAAAAATAGGCCTTGAATCAATTTGTCCTCTAACGACTTCTTTTTTCACTTTGGGCCTCAAAATGGTGCTACACTATTGGGGATACTGAAGATCTGGGTGCTCAGGGATTGAGGTTTTACCTCTGCCTTAATCATAGGACTCTGGAGCTGGGAGAAACTTGATGTAATAATAGTTGACATTTATTGAGCATGAATCAAGGTTCAGGTAATGTACTGCATTCTTTACATTTATATTCTCATTCTGCCTGGAAAAAAAAATCTCTATGAGGTGAAATCACCCTCTTGAATCTACAACTACAGGTGGGGAGTTGAGCGTTCAGAGAGGTTAGATAACATATTCTAGTAAATGGCACAAGTAAGATTTTCTTTTTTAAGTTCTGTCTTACTCTAAGACCTAAATTCTCTGGTTGAAAAATTCTTCTCCAATAGGGAAATGGATACCAAGAAAGGTTAAGTGATTTGCCTAAGTGAACTTGGAAATTACAACTTATATGATAACACTCAATGGCCCCATTGTTGCAAAATAATAAATTTCATTCTCCTAAGTAAAACACTGAAATCGTAAGTCTTCTCGTATAAGGTATAGCACTGTCAAAGATATAAGAAATGTTTTATCCTGGGGTCTCTAAGTGTAAGGATTTTACATATGGATTTAAATATGTAAAATGCCATTTAGAATGGCAAGATATTAAACATATATGCATGAAAAATTAGAGAATAAATCAAGATCATACACACCAGAAAGCTGAAATGGGAGTTAATGGTACATTTTCGAGAAGTTCAGCATTTTCCACTCTCTAGTATTACTTTGCAGTTCTGTATATGCATGGAAAAAAAAATTCCAAGTACATTTTTTGTCTGGATAGATGATAAATGGGTGAAAGTTTGAGAAAGGACAGAAAGTAAAATTTTAACTCAACTGGGAAAGATTATGCAGTCATCCAAAACCACTGATTTACAGGATCTCCACTCAAAACATTATTGCTTCAAGAGCATTGTAACAAAATCGGGACCTGTTTTCCTCTGCATAACATCTTTGAGACAGCATTATAATTTTGCATGTTGCTTAAAAGCGTTGGATTTTTTTCTGGAACCTCAGTTTGTCTAAAAGGTGCCATGGAGATTTAGGTACATAAAAGATAAGGGCCCCCCTCCCTGAAAATGGGCAGTATCTAAAGGTGAAGCTGGACATTTTCAGTTTTTGCCTGAATTGACAGCCTTCTCTCACCTCTTCCCTTCTCCTCTCTGCCTTCTTTCTATAGAGTAGTGTGTTAACAGTTGTTAAACCATCTTGTTTTAAATAAAGAGATAATAAAAAATGAACAGGGAGCAAATTACTGAAGAAAACCTTAAGATACCTTTTCTTAAAGTAATGATATTCCCAATTCACACTAATAGCTCTAAAAGCTTAATCAGTGGAAGAAATTATTTTTAAGCATTCAGGGGGTTATTGTGAACTGTTCTGTAACAGCGTCGTCCTGTGAAAGTTGTTATGTAGTTGATCATTACAAAATAGGTCATATTCTATAAGAGCACACTTATTATCGGTAAGCTCTCATTGCAGGCCAGGACTTCACCGTCCATTGATACACGGTTGGTTGTGAAAGTGGTAAGCATAAAAATATCAATGTAGCAACTCTAAGTCTATAATTTCTTTAAAGCAGTAAAATTACACTCTGAATCATGTAATGGTACGGCCAAAAGAGATCTTGGAATTATCATGGTATCTCTAATAATAATCACTTAATTAGCAATCATTTGTTTTCTCTTTTGAACTTCAGAAGGCTTTGATTAATACACATGACTTGTCTCTTAAAAAAATGCCTAGAAGCATTTGAAATGTTGCTGTTTTTCACTCAGGAAATTTAGCTGTAGAAAACAGAGGAAATTTTGAATCTTTCTATAGGTTTTCCTTTTAAAAAAACAAGCAATTCAACCTCATAAAGGTTTTTTGGCTGCACAGAATAGTATTGAAAGAGCACAGGTGATTTGAATCTGGTTCTAGATTTGGTCTTCTCTTCTCCACCCGTGCTTCCCACCACCCTCACGACACCAAAACAAAACTTGGGAGAGGGATGGAAAATGAGTCACAAAAGGTGTGTGGACAGGGCGGAAGGTGGGAGAGTGAGTGGTGGGGGAGGGGAGAGGAAAAGGGAAAGAGTGTGGGGGAACAGGTGGCAGTCCCTCAAATGGATGGGACATTTACGGATCGGTTATTTGTCAGCATCTGAAATTCTTTGTTTAGTTTATGAACAAGTTAAAACCACTTCCTTCTCTTTCTGACACCTTTTGTTCCTTGTGCACATAAGGCAGAAAGTTCTTTTAAATGGCAGATGAAGACACTAAACGCGAAGTGTATGGCTGCTGCTCCTTCCACATGTCCAGGGCACTCCTGTCTTCATCTGCTCTCTAAGGCTGTGTCATGAGATACTTCCACATGTCTCGGATCAGGCTTTATCCCCCAAGGGCGAATTAGTAAGTTTTACAAGAATGAAAGGGACACAGATAGGTCCAGAAGAAAACAATTACATTTTTCCACTGTGCACCTGAATTTATTAATTGCACAGACACAGGTTAAGGGCAAGTTCCCAGTGTTAATGAGGTTATGATCTTAGGCTCCATCCCTCTGTGGACAAATTTCCTTTGAGTTGTGACCCAACCGAATATCAAACGCTTAAAGATTATTGTGGCAACAATAACTAGCATTTATGCTCCTACTAGATGCTGGACACTTTAACTGGATTATAGGTGATGTTCATTATCAACTCCATTTTTGCAGAAGCAAGAAATGGAACTCAGAGATGTTAAGGTCAAAGCTACTGAGAAGCAGAGCTTGGATTTGCACTCAAGTCTGTGTAAGGACTTGAATATATATTGGTTCTAAATAACTTCCAGGAAAAAACACACACATACTTTAAATTATTTCACTCCAGGTTACTTTTGCAGATGGTAAAAAATAGAAGTTAAATAATTATTCGTGTGTGTGTACGTTTGAGGGGTTTTCAATTTTTATTTAACTTGAACTACATAGAAATTTTGCCTGGAAAAATTTGCTGACTCTAATATATTTTAGTGGAAGTTATGATCTTAAATAGTGAGTCAAAGAGGGTTGAACCATGGAGCCAGGCAGGTCCTTTTTGAGGATACTTAGTCCACGCTCATGTAAGATAAAAACCACTGACACCCAGAGACACGATGTAACTCAGCCACTCACATAGTTAATAAGTGACACAGCCTGAGCTGAACCCAGGTTTCCAAGTCCTAGCCAGGGCTCAGATCCATTACATAACACTGCTTGAAAAGTGCCAAGTCTTAATAAACCCTCCAACTTAGCCAGAAATACCACTACCACGTACAAAATACATCAGAACACCAAGTCACATCAGAAGTGGGTGATAAGACGATGCAAACAGTGTAAAGATATGACAGGTGCTCAGAGTAACCCCACTTGTCTTCAGTGGCACCAAGATAGAATTTTTATTCAAAATACATTTGGTAAAACCCATACTCCAGTCCCTTCCAAGCTGTCTTTGTAGAGTCATTTGGAGCTTTGTAATTTTGACCCAGCTCTGGTTTTCTATTAACATGTGACTTAGGTGAAATATGACTTCACTTTCCTGATCTGTAAAATGGGAACAATGTCACCTCCCTCAGAGGGTTATGAAGATGTTATGAATGAAACAGGTAAAGCGCATGGTAGGTGCTCGGCGGGGGTTTGTTTTCTTCTTAGCCTTCCTGGACTATCTCATAGGAAACTTTTGTAATACATGAGGGCATTCATACCATTTTGCTTCTAAACTTGTTGGAGTTATTTGAATTCTTATATTGCAAGGGATGGTTAGAGGGAAAGCAGGCCCAGTGGTCTCTCTGGGTACCAGTGGCCCAGTCTGCATTGCATTTGTTCTCTTCACACTCTAGGGTTGCCAAGGTTTACTTGAATTTGAAGGATTTCATTGCTTTGGTTTTGGCTACAGAGTGATACCAGGCTCCTCTTAGAGATCCGAGGCTCTCATATTCTTCCAGACATTGTTCCTAAGCATCTGAGGTGTTTTCTTCCTGGACCTTTGCATCTCAAAGCAAATATTATATTTCCAAAGACTTTTACTGCCAGTAGAAAGTTCTTGCTTTCCATGTTGAAACACAGGAGGCTTTCCTACCTTTGTGTCAGTTAATTGTAGCGTAGAAAATTTGGGGGGGTGCTGGGTCCTGTCTTTTCTCTTTGTCTTGTGTAGCTGACTGATCTATTGGCAGGAAGAGCATAAACACTGCAATTTCTCCCTTTCCCCCTCAGCATTTGATAACTGCCCTGGCCTAAATTACATCTCTGGGAAGTGTTTTGTCACACTCTTCTCCCCAGCTGCCACACTTTGTCATGTGGCACTCGCTGCCCTGCTTTGGACTTTCAGAACCAATTCTTTGGCAACACATCCTGTTCATCACATATGTGGGGGAAAGCTGCTGCTGTGATTTTGTTTTTATACTTGTACCTGTCTTCCTTTTTTTAGTAATGATCCAAGTGGCCTATAATAGAATTTATTTTCCCTTCTACTATTAGAAAAATGCCTGTGTCAAAAATATGCTTTTCTTCAAGTTGAAGGGTAGCAACTTTGTAGTTTTCCCAGTGCTGTGACGTCTCTAAACTGGGGCTGAACGCTTAAAAATCACAAGTTGCCAGCTTGTCTCTAACCTTGTTACTAATCTCAAATCAGTTATATGCATACAAGTTTCGGTTCTTACCAAGGAGTTATGTTAAAGCAGTCCTCAAACTTTAACGTGCATGCCACAAGGACAGGCTTCCTGC